GTTAATAATTACGTCGTTAAATTCCGATGAACAATGCTTTGCGTGTAATAAAAGCTTGGTATCTGCTTCTTCGTGATCGTTGACCAAAGAAGGCTCGCCCGATACGCAAAGCTGGAATTGCCTGAAATTGATGCAGTGACACTCAGCACCGTGGCCGATAAAAATTTTCATTTTCCCTACAGAACATGAAGGTTGATAATTCGGAGCAAACGAAATTAAAAATTCTACAAGAGCCTCCTTATTCTTGCCGGAAAACAAAAACTTTTTAAACTGTTTAGGCGTTTTTTGTTCCAATCCTACTATTTTGATGATTTCGCTTTCATTCGATGATCTTCGACATCTTTCAAAATTTTTTATGCTAATATCTGGATAAGTGTCACACACAAAGTCATCCCTGTTACAATTGTAAGACTTTGCCATATTAATTATTCTGTCGAAAATCATATTTAAGAGTCTTCCAAAAGTTTCCGGAATATTATTCAAAGATTGCAATAAAGCCATACCATCTATTACAAGAGCTGCATTCAATGAATATGATTTGACTAATACTTCTGGCACACTATTTTCCAATTCGTGCAAGAGCCTGGCTTTGTTAGTTCTCACCGGCGTTCCGTTTGGTGATCCAATAGATGCGGGGATAGCAGTTAATGGATATTCTAGCATTTCTTGCAGTTCTATATTTTTCGTTTTTCCAATAAGTAGAAGCCTATAGAAATTATCTTCTGATTTTTTAGAGAAGTGTGGTACTTTTTCGTTAATTTTGGCGCTACCCGAAGAAAATGTTTTTAATTTTAGCTGTTTTATAGGAGTAAATATACTTACAGTTGAATTAGCAAGAATTCGGTTTTGGCAAAATAAATCTGCGTTGTTTTTTCCCAGTCTAAATGCGTCTTCCATATCCATTTTAATAGCATCTGATGCAACGGACCCCGAAGAAAGGTTCATCAGAGAGTCGCATTCTAAATCAAACGGGTCGGTCATGAAGGTCACCGTATCGACTATTGATTGCACGTTTTGTTCATCTCTGATTGAGTTAGCAGAATCAAGGTCTTTGCGTTGTCGTCTAGTAGCATCTTTTCCAGCCATTTCCCTGCATGCCATAGAAATAAGAGCGCGTTGATGGTGTGATAGAAGCCATCTATTTACAGCATTTTTGTTTAAAGATAGCCCACGAATTCCTCCTCGGGTTTTAGAATCTCTGTTCAAAGTTTGCTCAATTAATTGATCGCAGGCAATTTGGCTGAAACCATATTGAGCATGACGCTGTACAGAAAAATTTCCCTGCTTTAAATACTGATATATTTCAGGATGACTTGATGACAAATTTTCCATTTCAGACAAATAGACTGAGACATATCTCGCATAATTGATATGATCATATAGTTATATATTGGCTCTGGTTTGTGTACGGTCGGGTCAAAGGTCGACGTTAAGTTGTATTCTGTGATGTCTGTTGTCAAGAACCATAAGCCTATAAACTCGAGGTTGAGCAAGGTATGCTAGTACGACGCAATCGATTTAGTTTATAAATACTTGATAAATTAATCTAGAAGTGAGTTAGCGTAATTAGTTTCTCTAATGCTAACAGTCTAACACAAAACAATTTTTTAGGTTTCTCACATAGTAAACATTATCCTACAGTTGTACAGTCCTAAGCAAACCAACACAAAATGAATATGGAAAACAGGGAAGCCGGGAACAATTTCGATTAAGGTTGAAAGTTTGGAGCAAGTATAAAATTACACCCGGACAAATGCACCATGCTATCATAGATAAAAATGCATAGGCTAATTACACCAGCGTTCTAATCGTAAATACAGAAATAAGGTGTCACAAAAAGGCTGAAAAAGCGACTACTGGATGATCAATTATTCACCATTCGGGTCTAGTGTACTTTCGTACCTAAAGTACTTCTAGTGGTCGTAGCATAACAATTTTTGCATATGTTAATTCTAACACCCACCTGACTGCGTCATCCAAAAATTACGTCACCACGACGTATTACAGTAATACTCATATATCTTTAAATATAATAGCCGAGGCAGGCATTCCCAAACTTTGCATGTGAGATAACGGAGGTTGCGTGATTATTTCCAGTGCATAACACTATATTAGATCATTTTAAAAAAATTCTTGTTCACCTATGTTCATGGCATGAGAAAATCAAATCTGTTAAAATTAACAATGAGAAGTAAGAACGGGCTATATCGAACATCCAGATGTGTTTTGGTCGTTGATGTCCACAAAAACAATATCACTTGTGCATGTAGTTCTACTATAAACTATTTAATAGAGCTCTTCAAACTATACGAACTGTCATCCAAGACGCGCAAAAGATCGAGCTAGCTATTTCTCTCATTTTCTCGCTGCAACAATTTCGATATGAGAAAGATCGCTGTCGTTAGTGAGTTCTTAATCATAGTTACACTTTGACACGCTTTATGACATGATTGTGAGGTCGCAGTGACGTAATTTTTGGATGGCGTAGTCAGGTGGGGGTTAGGATTGACAGGTGAAAAAATTGTTATGCTACGCCCACTAAAAGTCCGTTAGGTACCAAACTACACAAGATTAGTGATAAAGTTTTCACTTTCCGACTTTATCTGATTTAACTCTTGAAAATCAATTCAATACCGAAGTAATATTTTTTCTATCATTAAGTTATAGAAGTTACAGTTACTGGTACATTGCATCACAATGGGAACAGGTGCAAGCACTGCTGGTGCTGGATCTGAGGTGTTTAGTCCGAGACTTGAAATGACTAAAAAAGGTCCAAAAAACAATATATTAGACTCTGTACCACTGTCTGATGTAGGAGCTGGGACCATACATTATCGATACAATAGACCTGGACCCTCTGTTCACGACCCTCCAGATCTCAATGAAAAAGATATTCGTACAGGATATTTTTTCCACCCAAAGTTGAGTGATTATAGTGAACTGGGTGACCCAACCCACGAAGAAGCTTATAAATTCATTCGTGTTGCAAGTGGACCCAAACGCAGTCAAAATCAAAATGTTTATTATGTTACTGGAATAGGATTTCAAGGTACAAATGATGATCTCCCTCCTACACTCATTAAAGAAACTAACAAAAGGGTTTATGGGCACAAGTATTTTAAAATGGCGAAGGAACCGATTGATGGAGATATTGTGACCTTCAATGATGAAGTTTTTGAGGCAAGTGACAAAGTAGTGCTCCTACACATGTTGTCTTTGTGTACAGTGAAAGATGTAAAAAGAAAACTTGGACATCATTTTCTCTGTCCTCTCGGAATTGTTCATGTCACAATCGCCGATCAGGATGTACAAGATACTGAGATTTTGAGAGACATTTTTTCAGACGAGTCTGATGCTGAAATATCTGATGACAAGGAACTGACTTTACGTCTTATCATGCAACCAAATTAAATAAATATAAGAAAGTAGTTTGTAATGTATCAAATATCATATACTTGCAACACTTATTACCACTGTATCGAATACTCATACATCTTCAAATATAATAGCCGAGGCAGGCATTCCCAAACTTTGCATGTGAGATAACAGAGGTTGCATGATAATTCCCAGTGCATAACACTATATTAAATCATTTTTAAAAAAATTCTTGTTCACCTATGTTTGGCATGAAATAATCAAATCTGTTAAAAATTAACAATGAGAAGTAAGAACGGGCTATATTTGGCATCTAGATGTGTTTTGGTCGTTGATGTCCACAAAAACAATATCACTTGTGCATGTAGTTCTACTATAAAACTTTTACTGGCTGTAATTTAAAGTTAAATTTTCTTTCAAAAGTTTGGTAACATCTGGGCTAAACTATTTCTCTGTAGTACAATGATCGCAATTTGGTTTTCATCATTTTAGAATATCTTCCATATCTTCAACAACTTTTTAAAAGAATATTGTTATGCTTGTTGTTCTGACAAGGAACACGTTCAAATAGTTTTGTATCCATAATCTATAATTTGCTATTAAAATTGTCGGATACAACTGTAAACAATGACAGGGTGTTGCTGTATTTAATATTAACTTGATATGTTTTTTTATGAACATCAATTCTCAAGCAAAAAGCTCATCTGTTTTTTATTAATGTGATACCATGTTTTAGTGTGAATCAAACACAGCTGGGGAGTCTGAGCCATGGTGCTCATTGCATTTTGGTGGGGGTAGAGCCAAGCTAACCATGTTAGTTGGAGCTGCCAGAAATTTTAGTGGCTCTAGTTCCTGATCATCTTATCATTTTTCAACATTCATAATTTCTTAATACTTATATATAGGCTGAGCTACTTAATACTTTTTGAAAAATATATAATAACTTCTATCCTTTTCAGTTCATATATTTAAAAAAAAATTTAAAAGTCTCAAGTTGAAATTATATATTAAAAATTTTAATTTTGAATATCTACGGTAGTTTTGAGTCATATGGTATCATGCAGTAGTTTTGAGTCCCGTTTCCTCGAGCGTGCATCTGGGCTGATTTTTCATGGCAGTGGGCACCCTTAAAAACCTCAATAAGTATGGGGCTGGGCCCAGCTCCGACATAAAAAAAATGAAAAGTCAAGGCTGGAGCCACAGTTTGAATTTACTGTGACTATGCAGCTGGAGCCGAGACCCCTGTTATTTCGAACCAGCTTCCCAGGCCTGATTCGAACACAATTTTGTATTTGTGTAGTAAACCTAATTGACTGGATATTGATGTTCATTGGTACACTGTTCAGAAATCAAAACTTATTAAAATTAATTTTTGTCTGGACTTCAGTGATCACCTGTAATTTTGCTCAAGAGAACAAATTTATATCTCTCAGTGATTACATGTGTCCCTTCATTGAGCATATTTCCTTATGAAAAAAAATTAAAAATAATTTCGAATATATATTTTGTGGCTGTATGATATGCTCTAAATTTGTGCTGATAGTATTCCACTGTAATAAATTAAGTTTCAATTTTCATGCACTTATTTTGTATACCGCCTTTTTGTGTATATTTTAGTCAAATAGACTAGAACATAGAAAATGGGGAGTTCATCTAGTCAGCCTGTAGCAAATCTTTATGAAAAACCTGAATCAACTGTATTGAATATTTATACCACGCCAGAAAACAAAGCTGTTGACACCTTGCCAATAAAGGATAATGTGCATCAAAATAAAAAGGTGAGTAGAATTTTTTTTAAAGATTTTATATTGTACCGTGGTACATGGTATTTTGTAAAAAGAAATATTTTATGTGCAATTTAGATTTAATATTCATTTATTTGTTTGAATAGTTTGCTATTGTCTATATCTTTTTTTGGTTACCTTTCTGACGCTTCATTGTCTGTTTTTGCAGGATGAAATCTATTTATTGAAGAGAATGTTTTACAAACTTGATCCTGCTGTAATTAAGGACAGTTTTGACACAGCTTATGGCCAAATCAAACTTGCAATAAAATATGTTTCTTCTCAAGAAATGTTGCTTGTGAAGGTACTCATGGAATAACACTTTAATATATGTATCTAGGTATAATGGCATGAATTGCCCATATATCTGAACTAAATTTTTCTTCAGCTGTTTTTGAAGCATTCTTATATTGTGGTAATAATATTAATTAGGGCTAATGTATACAAAAGTTACCTGAATACTCCTATTTGCTTTTGACAGGTGTTTGAAGTCAGATATCTCTCTGCTAAGAATGTGAGAGGACATGTATTCAGTCCATATGTTAAGGTATGGAGCATATTCAATTATTCCCAGGATTTTATGACATCACAATGACCTGCAGTGAAAGCATTGACCTTAATAACTGATTACACATTACATCGATTACACATCTCTTGTACAAATCCCATGACCCCCACCCCACCCAGGGTGTAATAAATTAGGTAGGCAATGCCAAGCTGTAAAGTTCCTGTCCTTTCAAATAAATAGAACCTCCTCATCCTCACATATCATTAGATACTTGTTCAAGGTCTTGTTCAGAATGAAAGGCGGGAGCATGCGTTTTATAAAAAAATAAAATAATTTCATCATTCAGCAATAATTTGGGTACTCCCGTAGTATGTGAACCAAGATGGCGGGACGAAGTATGTGTACCAGGTTAGGGTTAGGCTATAATTTTATTCCAATTTTCCTTATTTTAGTTCTATTACGAGTTCGGAGACTAGCCGAGTGACTCCCGTAGTATTTGTACACGAAATTATGGCCTAACCCTAACCTGGTACACATACTATGTTCCAGTGTCCGCGATCTTGGTTCACATACTACGGGAGTACCAATTTTACTGATGCTAAGTTGTATGCTAGAGATACATTAACACAATATATTTTTGTATTCAGATTGAACTTGTAAGTACCAATCAGACTCAAACTGATGGCATTTTAATGTTGGCTGAGAATGGAGAGAAATATACGAGTGAGATATCCAATTCCACCAAACTTTCATACAATGAAATATTTTCTTTCAAAGGTTCTTTGAACAATTTTGAAGATTTAGTGTTGAGGTGAACATTGAAATAATTAATTTTATATTCCACTGTAAAGTTGTTTAAGTCCTACTCAATAGACATGGAGAGAAGCAATGGCCAAATCATTGAATAGTAACCATATGATTCATTTTGATCTTCAATATTACCAATATTTAGAAATACCTATGCATTGGAACTATGATTTCAGAATTTGATGAGTTTATGGAATTTTTTTAAAAAAGTTCTTATTTATTTCTTAATTGGATGTTTGATTTGTGGAGTAATTTATATTAATTATATTAGGACTAGAGATAGTGATCTTTGGTTAGTATTTCTATGAAGGTTTTTGTAAGTATCAACAATAGCATTTTTACTGATCGCTCACAAAAGCATTCAGGTCGAATCAGATCTACAGATATTTGGACCCGATATTATTAAAAATATTTCATCATAATTTATGTTTGTATTCAAGTGATAAGTTATTGAATATATAACTTTCATATGATATGACGATATATGTCTATAAATCTGAACTTTTCTACTTAAAATTTATCAGATGCTCTGTGTGGTCAACCGATGGATTGGTTCATGATGATTTTTTTGGTGAAACTTATCTGGATATTTTTGAACTTGACTGTGTTGACACCGTGCAAATAGCTTGGCATAACTTGAAAGCACTGGTAAATATGTAACCTAAAATAAGTAATGTATAGGAAAAATACTGAAAACATCTACTTTAGTCAAATGTTGAAACATTTCCATTTTTGTAAGAAATACTTTGCTTATGACTACCATAGTTAGCAACAGAACAACAATTCAGTGATAAAGTGAGTTTTATGTTCTTGGTAAATATGCTTAGCATTGAAGAAATGACGTAAAACGTTAAGCGTTTGTTGACTTTTGTCAACCTGAGGTTGAGGAAAATAAATTTTATTTGAAATATCATACTGTAAATCGAAGTGGCCGTATGACGTATGTGAACCATGGATCGATTGTACTTGTTCATATTTGGCCACAGACCTAACAGTATCTGTTCCAAGCATATCCCATATATCTGTCTGTAAAGTACAAATCGGAGACTATCCCCACCCATGATTCCAGCATGCCAACAAAACAAGCATTCTTAATGCTTATCAGGATGAGCCACATGTTTATCGGATAAAATCACAATTAACGTAATTAAGGTTGAAAATAAAAGTTTAGCTTAGCTAAATAACAATATCGTACCGTTCAATTAATTGTCCAAGAAACAAATGATCGGGTTATAACATGTTTTGAAATTCGAATTATGGTACAGAATTGAAAAAAAAACGTGATCCATTCATCTCAAACGAATTGGTGACCCGTACCGATATCTATTCCCAACAGTCCGTTCCCAACATGGACGGATAGTAGCACATAACAGGTCATTCGTCTTACGTCATAGGATCGGCTTCCATTTTTTAGCTTGCGACGCACTAAAAAAAGTGAAAAGAAATCGCGGTGCACTTGTTACAAAACGAAGTTATTTAAAAAATAATTATTAAGATTAAATGAGTCAAGCAGTTCCCAACTACACTCACTTCTTTTTTATCTGTTCTGCGAAGTCTTTTTCATAGGATAGGGGTTACATATTTATCCAGGGGGAGAGGAAAGCCGATAAGAAAGGGCTTGATGGCGGAGGACCCCGTAAACCAGCCTATGACGGCGAGGAGTCCAAGCGCCCCCCCCCCCCCCCCAAACAATCGCGCATAGGATGCGAACCCACGCAGAGTAATCAGAGATGCGGTGGCGAGCGATGAGCGACACCGCCGCCCCATGATACTTGCAAATGGCAACATTGTTACTATGGTTTCAAGTGTGATAGGATTGCAGTCAGTAATTTATTTTTACTCATGCCGAAAAAACACAGTGTACATACAGAATGAGGGAATATAAAAAAAATGCATTTCAGTGTGAAAGGAGACGCGGCACAATTAAAAATTTGTCACGCCACACTAGTAATTTACAATCGACTTCGACTCGTGTATGACTCCCAGGAAATCGAATTGCAATTCTTATTCAATGGATTGTTGACTACCCTTGGTCAACTTAATTTTTTTTCGTTTCTGTAGAAAATTTTAACTTTTTAACGATTATCATCATTAAAAAAAAGATTTAATTCTCGGTATTCGAAATTTCAACTCCCACTCTCGATTTCAGGTAGTATGAAAATAGAGCTCCGACTAAAACTCGCCAAACTCCCAACTCCGTAGCGCAGGTGCTCGGCGTACGATGTGCGGAGACCGCCACATTTTATGTATGTCGTGTTCCCCAAGATAGCGCTGAAGAGTAGAAACGATATACAAAGACCGGTGTCATACCGGCGCTCCAGAAGTATGTGTACCAAATTGAAGTAACTGATTTGTTCGCCTACTTTACTGACTTATTACTATGGTAGGGGGTATATTCACTTGGCTAACACAAACAGTCCCCGAACTCGTAATAGAACCAAAATAAGGAAAATCGGTATAAAACTATGGCCTAACCTTGTACACATACTACCGGAGTACCGTCCTATCACCAATCATTTGTATCTCTCGTTTTATGAGCATTCTCGCCAGGTATAACATTGTTGTTCACGTTGCATCCCATCCTGAACTTTTTTATCACGAGCCGGTACTATAATTTAAGGAAGATTAATGATTTTATATACAATGCATTAGCTCACAATATTGACAATCTCTAATACTTACCAATGAAACGTTTATCCTATCGGCCCTGTATTATCTAGACCAGGGCTACTCAACTATTTTTTTCGAAGGTCCGCAAACAAAACTTCAAAATTATTTGGGTCCGGTCTTTCCAGAAATGATATTTCGGCATCCTTGAACGAGCACTTCCTCGACCGACTGATGATTAGTAGGCATAGTAGCAAATTAAAATTGTTTATTATGGTGTTATAGTTCTTTTCGTATATATTCAAAACTATGAAAGTCATTTTATAATAGGAAATTCAAAAAGTGAGGCTAATGATCCAAAATAAATAATTAGGTGCGGTCCAAATCCAATACTCGAAAGGTCCGGATTCGGACCGCGGTCCGCCAGTTGAGTAGCCCTGATCTAGACTAGAAGACATTATATTACTCCCGATTCCCAGCTACCTGTGAATAAGTTAAATAAGTAATTTTGATTTTTAACTTAGATTTCGATTTTTCTTTCTAAATATCGCCGGATGAGAACAGAAGGGGCCTGAGTCACATTTTTGCAAAATTCACTTTTTCCAATATTTTGGGGGTTTGAGCCATGCTCTACAAGGTGGTGGTCTTGAAATCCTGAATTTCCCAATAATAAAAATTTTAGCTGGACTTGGGACTGTAGAAGTTAAGAAGAGAATGGGCCTAAGTCCAGCTAAAATTTTTAATATTATGAAATTCAGAATTTCAAGACCACCACCTTGTAGAGCATGGCTCAAAACACCAAAATACTGAAAAAAGATAGTCCCAAGTTCCAATATGATGGGCATGAACATCAGAAATGAAATGTCCGAAACTTACATCTCTAAAAATTTCTTCAGTGTAACTTAGGCCTAAGTCACCTTGTTTTACCTTGCATCCCATACAAAAAAATTCAGGAGTTGTTGAGAACAGAATGGGCCAAAGTCCATTTTGGGGTTAAAAAAGCAGGATGGAATTGAAGCTGGAGTGCCGAAAAATATTGATTACAAAGATATTCACATCCACATTAAAATAACCAGAGCTCAGGTCTTTACTATGTGTGAATATCTAGAAATTCAAAAATAAAAAAATTCCAAATTGTTTTCTGCGTTTTTCTCAAAACTCAAAATTGTGACTTAGGCCTGTTCTGTTCTCATCCGGCGATATAGTTTTTGAGCAAAAATTTCAACTATCATAATCAACGTTGTGACTGCTGGCTTGATACGCCATTTTCGAATAGTTCGTAATTAAGATAGGATAGAATTTACATATTTATCCCGGGCGAGAGGAAAACCGACAAGATGACTTAACCACACGGCGCATCACGGCCTCTCGTCCGGTTACCATTCCATGTCGGGTATTGGATTAGTTAGTTATTTGTTTTCGGAAGCATGGACATGATGAATTAAGCCTGCTGTTAATCATGAATGGTTACAGACACTAGCAAAAAATAATCGCCCCATCCAAGATTTTTAGAATTCGCGATTTAAATACGTAGTTAGTAGGCAGTTTGTTAGTTCACAAAACTATGAGGCATTTAAATCGACAAGAATACAATCCTGGTTCACCTATAATCCATACCATGTTACGGTGATACAATATCGCTTGATTCGAATCGGACAGATGCCAATAATATTTTTGATAAACTAGCTTATCGAAGCCTATTTTGAAATTCGGTATAAACTATATGGTCGTCATAACTTCCTTCGTTTAACGAAGGATTGGGAAATTCAGTCCGATAATTGACGAATTTAGCTTAACCGAGAAAACATTAGAACATAATTGTCTTGGTAAATAGAATCAGCATAAATTCGTAGATAGTTAGTTCAGATCAAGTATAATTCATAGATAACTAGATTCATTCGACTTATTTTTACGTCCGGCCCATACCAGGCGAGCAAATTCATTTTTTTACTCATAAACTTTGTGGATGGATATCGTCTATCGAATTTTCGGCAAAACAATACTGAAATTTTCTCCTGTCTAACAAAACCCTGTATACAGCACACTGTCACCTGTATCGCTTTAAAACAATAAATAATATGTCATTATGACGTCAATGGCACTTTCACAGTCGGAAATTTATGAATTCCAGTCATATTTTTTAATCAGGAATGAAACTAGGAAAATAAAAATAATGGCCTGTTGAATTTTTAAAATTTGATGCGCCAAATCTCAGTTACGAGTAGAATGCGATTTGGCATTATTCAGTATTCATTAGATCAACAAATACTACTATCTGAAAGAAAAAAAAAACAATATATCCGCCATTTTATAATCGACACACTATATTTTTTACGACCAATGGGACGCCTGTTTTAGGAATGTTGACTTTTTTGAAAATACATAACTTCCCATTTTAACAAGTTACAGATTTGCCATTTCAGTCGTGTCTTGAAATGAAACTTGATTATTGATCCTTTTATTGAATTACTATAACGATGAGATAATTTACGTAGAAATAATTTGCTTAAAAAATATCATATTTTTGCGCCGTCTAGTACAATTAAAGGTCGAGCTTTTATCTCTACACAAATGTTTTGTATAATATTCCTAGTATGTTCCGAGTATTCAGCGGATATGTTTTCGTTTTACCACATTACGATTTTCAATTCAGACGGACATTACAATTGGTGGTGAAATTGATCTTCATCTCGGATACAAACTTCCCAACACACTCATAGTTACGATCAACACAGCTCGTGGTATCAAGAGGAATAATCAATCTGGCGATGCAAGGACTGCTTTGTAAGTGAACATCAGCTCCTGTGATCGCCAATTTTTACACATTTCGGCTTCATAATATGATACCTATATATGAGATTTGTAAGTTGTGATTGGCAACTAAACCTTTTAAAATTTTATGCCACAATTCTAATAATAGATCGCCAAAAAATAATATCAACGATTATCTCTTGCACAGTTAAATACGTTCCGCTATTTCGCTATGAGACTCCGTTTTCAATTTCGAAATATATTACTCGGCTTTTTTTGCGGTGAAATCGTGAATCGTTTGACGTAAGCGCTTGGTTTTTTATATAAAAAAAATCGGATTTTTTTGTACAATTACGGCATCATTTGATATGATTCGATTGATTTTGAAGATTAATGAAACTTTGATAATATTGCTCCTATTTTATTATTTCCTTGTTAGTTTCGTCAAGCCATATACGAGCTGTTACTACAATAACTAGAAATATCTATTTCAGAATGAAATTCCAATTAGGTTGCTGGGCTACTATTCTGACAAAAATTAATCTTGATCAGCAAAAACCACAGTAGATAATCTCCGAACGGAATATTTTTTTGTCACAACTTCACGAGGTATTGTTTGTATGCCATGCTAACATACTGATTATCATATCTTACAGGTCAGTGCGCATGTTTATACCGGGAGTACCTTACGCATTTCGTACAACTCCCGTTAGAGGTGATGATGAATACACGTGGATTGAAACTTTTTCCTTTCCTGTGCCCAAAGAAGAGCTAGTAAGTCGGTGAGTATTGCTGTCCCATTGCTATCAGTAAAACGATACACAGATTTAATAAACGAAACAAAGTAATCGTGATCAACATTTATCTTTTCAGATATCTGGTGTTGATTCTCACCGATACAAATGAAGATGACTCTTATTTGGGAGAATGTCATATCGACCTGGAAAATTTGGATGTCACGAGAGGATTTGAAGGAACATTCCAGCTATCTGACATGGTAACCATGAAGTGTCTGATTCTACGGTCATCTTATTTGTTTCATGACTATTGTTCTGTGTCCTCCTCTTGCTATTAGTAGTATTGTGACGTAACATTTTGATACTATGATGTCACTTTTTTAATTTCAACTGATGGCAACTCACTCAACGAGATTCTAAGCAGCGTAGTGGCTACCTCAGTCATGTTACTGTCTTAAATTGAGATTGTCTAATGTGAAAATTTCTTACTACTACATATTTTTAAAATCCTTAAACTACTAAACTATGAATTGTTAAAGTATAATATTAATTTAAATATTGTATTTTTTTCATCTCCGGTACAACAATGTAATATACTTCATTAAAAATGTTTATTTGGGATATTTTAACTAAGGGTTACTGGTATGATATTTTGAGAAAAAATTAAGTACTTTCAATGCGGCTCTTGCAAAACTAACTTTGCCCACCCCTGGTCTGATCGAATCTAATTATACATTCATTTATTTGACAGCGTGGAAACAATATTGTGCGAAGTAGATGGAGTAAAAATGCGGTTACTCAGGAGTTGCAAGAAGCACTTCACGCTCATTCTGTATACATGAGACCCCAGTTTCTTTTCGATCCGAAATCATCAAGAACTAAGGTAGGCTACGTGTTCCATCGCTTCGTATGTCGTCACCACGGGGTTAGGATTCGACCTCCGGTTGAGTCGATTTATCCTGGCTGTTGTTTGAGGCGTCTCGAAGAATTTCGCATAAAATAAATTCACGGGTGTCTGGAGAGGTATTTTCACTTTCCCATTGTTTCTGTTAAATTGGGGAAAGCGCATGGTGTTATTATTAATCGATATGTTGAGCATGGCAGCAAGTCTAGATATACGCGAACACAATTAAACAGCGCATTTTTGCATTTTCATTGCATTTTTCGTCCTTGCTAATATATTGCGTAGGGATCACGTTATTTCTGTAGACATTGCCATCTCAGTGTCAGATGCCACTATTGTTGGCAAGAAGATATTTGTCTCTAACGACCCCCCCTAAAAACAGAACTCATTATTTTCCTTATTATTACTACAAAAGAAAAAAAGAATTATTTAATACTCGATCCCTAAAACTTCTGTTTGTGTATGATTGTAGCCAAAAGTTTCAGTAATCTAGGATTCTTTTCACAAAACTTATGTTCTTTCCAGAATATTCCCCAAATAACTTGTTTTTTTCTTCTGCTCATTCTTTGTACTGTTCGAGTGTGAGCGCTAAAATTGCTATTTCAACAAATATTTCATCTTGCTCGTCGCCCATCAGACACAGCTCTTCTGTCAACTATCTACATACCGAACCGACCGATTTATTCATTCCATTCTATGAGCAAGACTTGGGAATGATTTCGAATTAGGTAAAATATCTGACTGTTATTTATAGTTTTCGCAACATTTAGACCTATTTCCATCGTGGCCTAGTGGCTGAAGCGTTAGACTTGATCGTGTCGACATCGCAGATTGCACATCTCTGGTTCAAATCCCATGTCACCCAGGGTGTGATGTATTGGGTAGGCATGGCCGAACAAGAAAAATTCCGGTCTTTGCAAATTATTGTGAAGTTACCAAGGAAATGTCATAGAGTCATCCCAAAATTCCATACTGCTCTAAATCTATGATGAACCAATTTTAATTTTGTTTTCCTAGAACAAACATCTGTATAGAAAAGAGATTCTTATTTGCGATATAAGGTTCAATCTTAATAACCCTAATACATAAATAAAAATGTCACGTGTATACAACCATCAACAACAGATTTTGAATTTAATAGTTGGCAGCGTTAAGAGCATCTTGTAGGAATTTAATTTTCATGCATTTAATCGCGTTGAGATTTCTAATTGTTTGTATATTATTTTACAAGAGCGATATGCTTGTTACCAGTACACGCATATCCTAGTTGCGTTGTATATTTTCATAAGGATACCACCTCGGACGGACATCCGTTCGCTATAAACAGCCTATAACAATACTCTCATTATGAAAACGGCCGTGACCTCCGTAACTCATTTGTCATGGTATTTCAAGACATGGAATATGTGTGTACTATCCCTATTCACGCTTGGTGGTGGTGTGTGGGGCATTCATCATCAAATACCTTCTAGAAGCGCGACTTGAATTAAACGGAATAAAATTCTTTTGCGTTTTGTGATGACGTCGATTTGATAAATATTTGGAAATGCGGCAAACTAGAATCGTTTTGAAGTCGCGCTCTCGACGATGAAACGATAAGCGAACGGTCCAAATATTTGTAAACAAAACTCTTGTCATGAAAACGATCAAAATTCTATCGTCGTCATATTTTGACACCAAATTGTGTTTTTATTGCTATAATAACATGTACAAATAATTGCTTAGTCGCTCTGAATGAAATTTTTGTGTTAATTACTCCACGATGTCATGCCTGAATTTTAACACCTGGCAATTCCAAATCCTAACCCTATGTTCTGATACAAAAAAAAAATAAAAATAAAGTCATTTGGAACATAGGGAGATGATAAACTTTTGTGCAGAACGTCATAGATTTTTAAAGGTTCTGGGGTCAATCATACACAAACAGAAATACAAGTTTGAGAAGGAACTTTGATACTCCGGAATCATTTGAAATCAGGTAAACGAAACGAATCTCCAGTTTTTAAGTTTGTTTTTCACGGTTAAGTTGAGAAAACATATAAAATCATAAACGGCGATTTCGAAATATAAAGTCCATTCAGCAAATTTTCTGTGCAATTTTTTAAGATTCTGATGGAGTTGTCACTTTCCTAAACCACTATCAACTAGAAATCTGCCGGTTGCCTGTCTAGGCCTCCACATATGTTCAAAAGAACTTTTATCTAAAAAGCGATCTAATTTTTTTTTAAATGCATAAAACCGATACAAGACCTTTTAGGTCTATTCAAAATGTTGCGGCTGCTGGGACACGGCACACTCGACATTTTGAAATTTAATTAAATTCCTTTGCTGTTTATTTATTTACCTACCTTCTCATAGCTCTTACAGCTTTCATTTACTCGTTATTCACGGCATCGTCAGTTTTTTCCCCATTTTATCGCGAATGTAATGTAGGAATAATATATGTCATGTCTCTATTTGATTTAAAAAATGGGTGTTGCGTGATTATATCAATGGTCAGACTTTATACAAAATATAGTTGCCACAATTCATCTGAGTCGTCTTTCAGACTACGGATGCTTTTAATTATCCCTCTCTATTTCTGTTCGCTAATTTTATCCGAACCTAAGTGGTTTTGATTTTTTGTGTTCGTCGTGTAAAATTGAAATTCACATTCGAGAAAAAAATAAAAATATTGTACTATATTCCATACTAATTTATGCAACAAAGCATGTATATTTTTAATTGGCTCTGACTGTACCGAGTTTCGCTACTTTTGTATTTCATTGATTTGTTGTCATCCACATCTTACATTGAACTAAATCACGAACAAAGTATATTGTGTGTATGTTTATAATATCTCTATGTGAATAATATTTATTAATCATCTTGGTTTTAAAAGTCACAAATAACCAGCCATTTAATCACGTTTTTACGTCATCCTTGGCGATATGACGAACGATTAAATCACATTAAGACGGTATCTTCCGAAATTCGCACGATCTTATCTTATCCATAGATATCAAAAATTAATATCATCTCTCTCGGCATCTTCTTAATTGAAGTTTTTACATGACCTTGGATTGAACCTCCGATTTGCCCTTATGGAAATCTGGACGTATATACGAATATCGTCCGCATATGAATAAAATTTTATGCTCGGCACTGTTATATATTCTAACAACTGAAAAATTTCGTGGTATGCATGGTAGTGCTGTATTCGCCCCGCAGTGTTTGTAGTAGCGATTAATTTATCTGTGAGTAATTATCAGAGAAAATGACAAAATATATGAGCGAGAACGCAAGTTTCCACTTGTCAGCCATGTAACATCGTTGTTTTTTTGCCAGACAATTTATTTTATTTGTTTTCAATAGTCAAAAAAGTTGTTTATGTAGTGTTGATTTTTTTTATCCTCAAATTTATTTTTGACATTTTATGAGTGAACTCTAAACAAGATAAATGAAATTCTACAATTTAATCAGAAATAGTATGATTTTATGAAGTTGCACCGATATGAAATCTAACATTTTAGCGTAGCAATTCACTTGTCAGACATATCTGTCTGGTGGTATTAGTTCTCTGTTTGTTTTTTCAAAACAATATGCAAAACGCGGCATTCACCGCAACAGACGACTTGATATACAGAAATGTGTGTCTGGCAAGAGTGTGAGCCTGTTTACCTACATTTAGATATGTCTATAGATAATTTCAAATTATGTAATTTTTAAAATCCCTCTTCTGACAATCTACATCTACATCCTTCTCTAAGATATTTACGACACTACTTACTATACGAAGTTAAATGGAGATTGGGTGTCGACGATTTTTTCCTCACCCCTGATACATGTGACGAACGAAATGGCCTCCTTCAGAGAAAGCCCGAACGATGAATGGGCCCATTTATACTGCCTCATTCCTAGCTGACTTCCAGCGTTTTCTTCAATCTCTTCTTCTGATCCGAAATCTTTATTTTCCGCAATCAAAATATTTTCACTTTGCTTATTTTGAAAGCATTGCAAAAAGAATGTTCTTTTGCCTTTATTTTCACGAGAATACTTTTTTACTCCATATGCACCCATTGAGATATCCAGGGCGAGTTAAATTCCCCCCCATTCTAACCTTTTCACATTTAATCGCTCCAAAAGCAATGCTTTCTGAATGCACGCTTTCAAATATTATAGGGTGAAATTCATTTTAGGACGATTATGTATAAAAACAGACTCATAATAAAAAAAGATTGCCCGTTTATGAACTTTCTTCGCGCTAAAAATGAAAAGGATTACTTAAGTCTAATACGGATTAATAGGTACAACATATAAATACACAGATGCTTAAAACACGCCGTTGTTGTGACACTTTTGAGAGTTATTGCATGAGTCATCACTAAAAATTTTGTCTTATGTTTGTTACTGGAAGCGATTTAAAAGTAAAGACTTGTCCGATATTATTACATAAAGTTTTAACGTCTTACTTTTAAATGGCAGAGTGTTTCTGCAACATTATATTTCCGAATTGCGTACGTCAATCGCTACCTAGGTGAACGTTGAGTTTGCCGCTTTGAAGCTCTGTGAATTGTCTGAGCGTTAAGACAACCAAATAGTTTGCAAACCCCGAAAAATTAAGTTATTATTTATTTTTATTTTTTTTTTTATTCTTACTGTTGGAGTATTAAACAGGATATCAAAAATATCAAAACTATTTAAATACCGAGCTTGTGTGCTGAGCCTTGTTCGAGGCGAAGTCATATAAATACGTCGTATAAAAAATAAACGAAAAATGCAAAATATACAGGGTCAGATAAGGGCGTCTCTCTCCCCTCAGCTCTTTCCATCAACGTGACTGGTCATATAAATGGAAGTTTGATAGATCAAAAAATGTTGCAAAGACAGTGCGTCAAATCAATCGGGGTTTTCGACTCTCAAAATACAAAAAAATACAACCGGTTCAGGGTTTTCCTGGAATAATAACATTCATATTTTGCCAACATCATTCCGGACGCTATTCTATTTTATGGTCCAAGTTTACATTACAAAATATTTAGAAAATTGAAATTGAATACTGCTTGCACGAAATCGCACGGATGCCGCGGGCACTGAAAACAAATGATGCGGGGTCAAGACTGGGTCAAAGGCCGGTTGACATTTAAAAACGATTCGCCTTTGGATCTGCCAAATTATCGTCCGTTCTATTATAAATACCAAGTAGTTTAGATTCGATTTATTTCCATAATAACACCTGAACGTTACTTGAATATCATCATGGTGAATTTGTATTCATAAAACAATAAATTAAGCATATTCGCATATTTTCATCTGATGGGATCTGAAAAGACGTAGACGAAATATTATACCCATCTTACTTCTTTACAGTCAAGACTGAGTTCTATTTTGTGAACTATTGGGAACAGGAATACAAATTTATGCAGTATTGAATTTCAGCTATACCTATGATTGTCCATATATCTAGTTTTTTCCTTAATTTGTTTCGAATGCGTTTGGATTTCGTTCGGCCATGAAATATATCAATACATCTTTGATATTGTCAGACACGGGACATCAACATAAGTCCAGCTTCGGCGAAAAAGCCACTCTTTTCTAATGGGTTGAGAATTCTTTATTATTAGACGTAAGTTTGAAATTTTATTCAACCAAATTTATATTGTATATTCTGCTGGAAATATACAACCCATGTCGATATACATACACTAGCATTGCGAGGCTCAAAGTCTCTTTCAAGCTTATGTTACGCAATTACATAGTTGACACCCATAAATTACCATTAGTAATTCAAGATTCTACTGTTAAGAATCCGTCACACATTGAAAATTTTGGGCGTATGGAAGGACGGTACTGGGTCGGATAAATACGGCGAGGTATATATAACAATTATCAAAACGGAAGGTCGCTTTAACTCATGAATTCGTTTAATTTTATAATCGCAATTCAGCACTGCATAACGGCAATTAGTTATGGATCAGTCATGGTAAGCGTGAATAATTTGGGTAAATAAACATCACCTAAAGTTATCGTGCGAAAACAAAATAGGAGATAAATGTACTTGAATTGCTTGGACTGTTTTATAAGAAGACTGGTGTTAACTACGCGTTGAATGTTGCTTGAATTTACTGCCTTTCTTTTATTGGTTATATTCATAATTTGGGTGTTGTGTAGCCATGTTTAAATGAACAATAAACAAAACTGGGTTGTTGCATCTATAGTCCATCAAACATTTGCCGCGGATTAGCGTGCAGGCGCCATATCATTTTCTCAGTCATCGTTTGAAGCCTTCCGTCTGACTTGACGTTGCGGTAAACATGGACATCAATCAAAACGAGATTTGTTCTGTTCACTGAATCCCAGCAGACGACATCGTTTTAACTTGAGATTTTTACAAGAAATCAAAACGCTTTAATATATTAGGGATATGTTAGGCATAAATGGAATCTATTACAAAAACTGGCGAAACTTTTGCTCTGAGTTGAGTAGGTATTTACGAAGCAAGCACTTTGCGAAGTAGTGGTTCCCTATAGGCTCGCCATCAAACCTTAACGTTATTGAGTGGAAATAAGTCAAACTGTGACTTCCTTGTATTGGTCCAAGTTTTTGTATGAGTAGCACGCATCAAACTCATTAATATTTTCAGTTATTCCTATTGTACTGCAATGTGCCACTATTGTGTTTACGTACCGCATTACCGAACATTATTTACTTCTATATTGATTATGCAGTATTGGGTAATTGTTGGCTTGGCAGGTTACACCTCTCTGGTTCAAACACCATGATAACCATCGCCCAGGGTGTTAGAATTGTCCTTTTGATACCTTTCCTGACGCAATGAAATTCATAAGCGTTTCATTAAAAATTATCTAAAAACTAGGATTCAGTTGCCTGCAATTCAATATGATATTACTATACCAGTTTATTTTTGGTGGCTTTAATTGCAATTAGAAGTTTACTCGTCTCGGCCTGGGTAAAAGTTCCCTTTTCCTCGTTTTTAAACTTTCAAATATTCCCCCATTTGCGTTATCTTATTTCGTATGTTTTTTTTTCGATTTCAAGTTTGGGATTGCGATCTGCATTGAGATTTTTCATTTGTAAGGCATTCCATTTCTACGTATGTACGTTCTGAAGTTTTTAACATTAGCAAAGAGGTACGATTTTAGTTTATGACGAAACACTCACAATTCATGTTCTTTCACGGTTGTCGCTTTATTGTTTTCTACCGCTCCTAACCTGTTAAGTGTACAGCGTTTTTTGTTTATATACGCCGATTTAGTCGCTTTGTGGTGCGACAAACATCTTTTAAGTAGTCTACTCCTTACTCTGTACTACTAATTATCGGAGTAATTAAAGCGAGAGACCCATTGGGTAAAATCTCACGATTCTGGGCTACAAAGTTTTCTCAACCCAGCTAAAATATTTTCAAAAGTGAAAAATATCCGGCTAATTACGGATCAGCGGTACATCGTGTCTTTGAAACCTTATTTATCTCTGTCACAAACTTGTTCAGTGATAATGTCCAAAAAACTCTCCTCGGATGTTGTTTTTCCGCATCGCTACTTTCCGCAGTTGCATTAATTTGTTTAGGAGGCAATTTAATTAAGCCATCCATCAACTGAGCTTGTAAAGGAGTAATTTTAATGTTAAGTGCCTAGTCTACCCCGACGGAGTGGGGCTTATCCCAGCCCCCAAGTTGGGTTTGGATGTCGAACTCAAAATGGCATCCTTTGATGGGAGTGGAGCCATTAACGCTGTTCGCGTTTTAACATCAACACCTCATTCGGGCTTCTGCACCCAGACATCGAAAATTTGTCTTGTTTATTTTTTGTCATATATTCTAATTTTTCAACAATCTTTTTTCATTTCAGGACCTCACTGTCAGCGTCCCGAAGGCGTTCGTTCACTCTCAGATGCGTGTGGTCAACGGGGTTGTCGTCCAATAGACGAGTCTCATCCCTAAAGCTCAAAGTACCTGTCCGCGAGAACTAATTATTCCTCGTACGTTTATTTACCGGATCTTAGGGAACAATGATAAATCGACCTATCATCCCTCACTTTCACTACATCGGTAATTAAAGAAGTAAAATTGCCAAATACAATTGACAGAGGGTAACCTCAAACTTCAATTTTATTTTTGGAGAAAATGTACATCTAGGTGTAAAAATAACTGCTAGAATTTTTTTGTTCCAGAATGGGTTTTTAAATTTCTTCACTAAGTTGTCTATCATGTTATCGTTATACTATGATTACCCGTGGATGCACGTGCCATTTGCATTGTTAATAACTTGATCACTTCTCAGTTTCAATACCAGCAGTGGTGTGATTCGAAGTTTTAGGAACGAACTCACTAGCAACGTGTTCCCTCATTTCAGAAAATGTATGTATATCATTACGTAGAATGCATTGATATGATACGCTTGACATAAATTCAATACATAATTTGTCTAAACATAAATATAGCCATAGTCCACAGCTAGGATACACGTAACTCATTGTTTAACGTCTAAAACAAAATACAAGACTAGGTTTACTGATTATTACAACATTGCAAGAATAGATTTGCGCAAACCCCAATCCAACCACTGCTGACATTTTCGTATCAGCATTATTAACAACAAGACTTACTGTTTTGCTTAGTAAGAGTTATTTCCAAAATATGGTAACGTATTCGGTTATTTTAATAGAAAGTGACTTTCTCCAATTAAGAGAAGAAATTTTTTCGTGGTATAATATCGTTTAATATCATTTTTTTTCTCTTTCCTTGTCTGCACTTGAATGAACTTTCCACTGTATTTTGCATTTTTCCTATCATAATCAAACCCACTGTCGTATATTACGATAGCAGTAATATTACATTTTTTAATTTAGTTATTGTACAAAACTGCAGTGTAGACTATTTTCATATACAATTACAAATATACTTCCATTCATATGAGATTGTTTATTTTTCAAATTAGTCTTCAACTTTCAGGCGAAGCTTAAAAATCGAGCCAGGTTAAGTAGGAGGAGTCGTGGGTGGATTTCAGTTTTAATACGCTCTTTCCCGTTGCACTTGACCCCATTTTTGTTGGATCAGATGGCATATGTCCTTTTCAAAATAAGTATGTTGTACCAGTTAGTCATCAGTAAAGACAGTGACCACCGAAAGTAATACAATGACTGATGGCATCTATGAAATACGCGGTTGCTTGAAAGTAGGTAAACAATAATCCGAGTATTTTGGTAAAAATCACGTAGGTATGTCCGGATTGACTTCTTGAAATAGATAGTAACAAATTAACCGACAATAGTTAAGCTCACACTTGGGTCAACGCAGACAGGCCGAGACGTTTTGCAGGTTCAAGTCCCCATTTGTCATCGCGCTATAGATTTACGAGGTTTTTAGCGGTAAACAAACGTATTTCCCGTCTTTTCCTCATCTAAAAGCATCTAGTAGACACTGTCATGCCGGTTAAACCCTTTGTTGCGTGGTAAAATTCACCAAGTAATCGATTTACGGTGTTTATTTAGCATCTTTGGTCTTTTGCAGAGGTCAATCACGGAACCTCACACAAGCAAACTTACTAAATTTGTTAGTGGGTTGCACCGTGGCAAATGTTACTTAGGTGCCTACGTTAGACGTGTATAACGCTTGTTTCAACTTTAGGGAATGTGTGAGGCGTTTTATATATAGCGCATCAATAGAAATATCTTCGCCACGGAACCTTGACAATATCTGGGTGAGTAATTGAGGTTTTTTATCTTTATCTAAAAACAAGTGGATTTTGTATCGTTTATTGCTTTTAGGCAGCAGATTAATACACGTGCATGCTCTATCTATATGATCTTAACAGTTGCTGATAACCCAACATAATGTCAGATATACTCGAAGATCAAATAGGTGACAAAATTCAAAGTCACAAGCGCGACGACGCAATTCTTGAGTAGCGACTCGGTTCAATTAATGCTCATAGGCGTCATAAATATCATGTGTGGTAGTCATTGCCCATTTTCCGCTCCCATTTCCGAAAACGAGTCGCTTTTTATACGTAGGACGACGTAGGAGGTGACTGAACAACTGTATTCCGCCATTTTACTTGCGCGAATGATAACACCTGTAGCGCCTATCTGTATAGCGACGCTGTTCGCACATTATCGAAGTAGTAAATTGGACAGTTTAAACAAAATTTTAATATTTTTATAAAACGATATCCCGTCCATTTAACACTGGTTCAAAACATAACTAAACAATAGAAATGCTCAATAAAATATTAATTTTGGTTCGTTTCCGCTTTTGCATCTCTTTCAGCGACTTTTTCTTCCAACATTTTTGCAACAAAAGGCACAATATTCGCAGGCTGATCATGCAGTACTTTATAAAATATTTCGTGCAGAAGCTTTTCAATTTCTGCAAACAAAGTTTTTTTTAATTTGAAATGTTCCACAAGGTTTTGGCTTGTCTTGTTTTTTAGTGCTTTTAATCTGACAGAGATTATTTTAGTCAGTTCCTAAATGCAGTATCTGATACGTGTGAAGTACAGCTCATCTAGCTCAAGACAAAGAAGAGATTCCCTAAAAGTCTGGTATTCTGAGGAATTTCTTTCATGGACACGAAGTATGTTTGCTACGTATTTTGAGCCAATTATACCACTGTACCAAACTTATTTATGAATGAGCAATGTTTGTCTCTGATGTATATACTGTATTAACATTAGAGATCTCATGGTCCAACTCCGGTCAGAGAAGTGGATCAATTCAGGTTGTGTATATTAAACAGACTGCACCATTAAAAGCTAAATAGGCTACTTTCTTTAAGTCGAAATTAATAGTTATTTCATATTTAAAGGCAAGGTGACTAACTAAAAATTAATTTCCAAAATATACCTTCTTTTAAGGCATCTAAGTTGCAATTCGCTTTATTCATCGTCCTAATTTCTCATTGTAGCCTACGGTACTTTTTGTGACTGTCTGTTAAAAATCTTTCTGTCTTTGACACGAGTATGGTTACGTTCCACACGAGACTGATGAATGACTCAAAACAACGGAAGTGATCTATCTATGTGAAGCTATCGATTATTTTGGGGGAAATTTTGCAATGGTGTAGGTACCGTTGTACATGCAAAGTTAAATATCAGTAACTCAGGTCATACTAGTAATTTTGCAGGGTTCAAATTGCTAACAGTACCGACATCAGAATAACTCACCTGGAGGAATGTGCTTTTTCTCGTCTAATCTCACATTGATATCTCGTTGAGGTAATTTTAGATCACTCTCCATAGTTTGCAAGCAGATAAAGCTGAACGGAAACGAGAAACGTTACTAATAAAACTGATTTTGACTTGACTTAGAAAACGATTGTGTTTGTAATTATTTCGTAACAAAGGCACAAAGATTTCTAGCAGACCTATTCATGCACGAGCCATTGCCCATTGGCCGATCTGTGTGAAAAAGTATAAAATAAATACGTTTTTCCTGAATAAGACTGGTTTTCTTATAAATAACTTATCTTATAAATGACTTTAGATTACGGAATTGACTGACAGTTGAGTTCATTCGAATGACTGTTCACTCTTCATTCGTTCACCGCCAGTGTACCGGCAGACAAAAAAATTATGCCAAAAGATATTTCCAAGAACTTCAGTTATGTGAAATTCATTGCCTCGTAACAGTATTTCTACGATACTGTCCTGAGCTCCCTCGGGTCTCATGTCAATAAGGTATTTTTAACGCGTAATTCATCGCTATATTTCTTTATACAGTAGTGTCAGTAAATCTTGGCACTTCAGTAGTCACCCGTACCTTTGCTCAAAAATCACCAACTCTGCTTTTGAGTGCTCATGACCTTGCTTTGGGCAATATTCGTATAAAAGAGTAAGTAGTAAATCAATTGATAAACAATATTTTAAAAACGTTTTCGTTGTTAATAATATAGCTGAGCGAATAGGCTGGCCAAGTCGAGTGTCGTACTAATTCTGTGATCTTTTGTCCGAAGCCCCCGCCTAAAGCACTCCCACCAAAGCTCAAAAAAAGAAAATATTAATTATCCCGTTAGGGTTAGGAATCATCCCCTAACCAGGGGCGTAGCCATAAGTTTTCAAACGGTGGTTTTCTGAAATTTCTATTTGCCAAGTTAGATCGAAACAGCAAGCGGAACGCCGGAAACTGTGTTTTCATGAGTCTCGAGGGTCTAAAAAGCGTTTAAAGCTACGAAAAATTGTTATGTATAATACAGAGAGAGGCTTTCATATTTTACTTTACAAAGGGGAGTTTCTACCCCCAAAACCACCTCCCTGGCTCCGCCTTTGACCCTAACCCCAAATTGGTGAATTGTAGTCTGCTATTTTTAAAACGTGGCGCGTTTTTTTTTTTTAATTTCTGCATCAGTGGCGGTTGACGATTGTACGAAAGAGCCTAATTCTGTATTCCGAGGAAAATAGTTGGAAGGAAAACAAAAAATTTGAATGAAAAATAAAATAATTTTATTGGCATATAACCACAATTTCGTTCCTTTCGGGTCATGTCCTTTCAGCCTCAGAAAACGTTATCGAGCACGATTTATATTTTCATTGTTCGTTGAGACAAATTGTGAGGGGTTCGAGTCTTATTGATAACGATATTTTTATAAGCACGCGTTTACAATCGGTCTAAACAGCGGCGATGGTGTATTTACAAGAAAAGTATTTTATCTTTAAAAACACAACATATTTGCACACTACTTTTTTAACAAAACAGTTAAATACTCATCAAATATTATAACATTAACAAAAATTACATCACCTTTCACATTAACGAGATTTTATCGATGCAGTGAGAAAGAGTCAGACGTTTGTCGAGGATCAAATTTTAAGCCAACTTTCCATTGATGTTATTTGTCAAGGTAGATCTGTGCTTAGATTTCTGGGCGCCATTTGAGGTTTACATAAGTAAAACACTGGTAGTAAGTCCATATATTTAGACAATGCCAACCAAACCTTCGTTTACTTTTTCAATTTCAAACTCACTAGCAATAATGACTTTTTTCGAATTTGTTTTGAGTCGCAATGCCGTTTGTACAAAAGTTATTTTCAATGATTACTATAGTGACCCTGCTTTCAACTGACTTTAAAAAACAATATATATATATATATACAATGTGCTTCTGGAGTAGTGAAATATGAATTCCGTTTGGCAAAAATGACACAACTTGTAACAAATTCATTGAGTTTTTATTTTCTACGTGGAATTGATTTACCATTCCCTGAGCTTGAAGCTGTTAGTACCGGAAGAATCTGAATATGAAAATTTCCTAAACAAGAGCATCCTCACCCAAAGATCAAAACTTTTGCGTCATACACCCTTGTACTACGAGACAAGTAAATAAATGGGAACGCTTTAGGCATATTGTCTTGCTAGACATACGAGCGCTGTTCATGTTTGCACTGGTATTCTCAACACCATTGTGATTTTTAGAATTTTTTGTATAAAATGTGACTACCGAATCCATCTGGCGGCCTTTAGCTGAATGGCGCCTGTCATGACAATATTTAAATATTTGCTATTTCGTAACCTGTCAAAAATTAATCTTAACAAAAACAACCAATTATTATCCATTACCAGTGTAGGAAACGAATAATTTCAACAATGGAGAGCAACCCTTACCAATTGGCTCCACTCCGATAACACAACGAAATTTCCGCATTTTTTTTCTCTGAATCACAAGAGTAAAAGTTCTCATAAACTAGCTATTAATAGTATTAAAATGACGCCAAACTTTGATTTATCAATATTACCGTGAGGAGACTATCTTGTCTGTGTGTTATTTTTTCGAATTATATTGTTATTTTTTCCTAATTTTAGCCTGAAAATTCAATTTCCCTTTCCGGAATTATTATTTTAAAATAAGAAATGATGCTAGTTTTTTTAACAAAACATATCTACATCTTGTCACGAAGAGTTTTATTAAAGAAAAATATACAGAATGTATGTAATTTTAAAATTTGTTTGAAATTTATATATATCATGAAAGTCTCGTCAAAGCAAAGATAAAACCGATGGAGATCATTTTTAATAAAGTATATAATAAATTGTTCAATTTATGCTGATATAAATAAATCTATTACTAATTTCTATTTAACCCATTTATTCAAACATAAGGGATCCAGGTTCGGGTAATAGGATTTATTCGTTATGGTACAAACTAATCGCGCAAGTCCAGCAATGGATCAAAATTTAAAATCTTCGGCCTGGGAGACATTAATAATTACGACAGGGGCATGTAGCTCAATGATTTTTCTTTTTATATGGTACATTTGACTTTTCAATATTTTGGCATCACGTTTTATGATGCCATCTCATAGACTATAAAATAAAGTCTAACATTTTCAATTCAAGCTCTCGCAAGAAATAAAATAATAGATATAATCTGTAGCACATTGATATTTTTGCGGAAAAAAATTTCAGAGATGGTTATTGTGTCCGGCCATACTGTTGGGCGCTACTCTACTTTAACTTTTAAATAGAATGAAATGATCAATATATGCCTATACGGGAAACAATGTCAAAAATTTGTCCCACGGATTAAAATAAGACCGCATCCATATTTGATAATAGTTTTAATAACAGTAATAGTTTTCTAGCAACTTCCCTAGCAAATTCCATCTAAACATTTCAAATCGATCGATTCGTTTTGAATTAGTCCCAACAGAAACAGCGACAACAATTTATAAAAAATTATCTAAAGGTGAAGTGTACCAATAAACGCAGAACCTTATGCGGATTTCACAATAGTGAGTATCAATAAAGAACCAGGGTATCCCGTGAAATGGTATTATTTATTATAAATTTTACACTATATATAGATTATTATGCAAGTATACTCAGAAGTCTTTAACGTTGAAATAACTCAATATCGGTATGATCCATGTTAATAATATGTGATTTAATCTATCAATGCGTCAAAGAGATTACGTCTGTTGACTTACACTGTATGTTGGAAAGTTATTGGTCAGTGTTTATCTCAACGTCGATCAAAAATTTGTCCAGTGCCCGATTGATACTGAGAACAGAAAATGGTGTATTGTCACGTACCAAATATCAAGTTACAGTGATGTCTAGCATAGATCAGTTCCTGCGAATCGGTCAAGTTTTTATGTACACACGTGTTAAAATACAAAACGTAACATTGTCGTCCATCCAAGATTGATTTAGTCGTGGGAAAGACTGTCAGATTATCAAAACTGAGATTCTGTACAAAACCCGTGAAATACGCGGGGTATTTTTGCTTTCACTCAATCAATCGATATGTAAGCGTTGCGGAAAACAAACAAACACAGTTACTCAACTTCGTGCCAGTGATGAAAGATTAGCAGAACATAGCGAAAATTTTGTTTTACAGCTTTAGTCGATGAAAAAAGCGTTTTGGTCATGTACGTACGGGCTTAATTCTACTTCTAAGCACAGGAATTATTTTTGTAATACTGAGGGTATATTAAAGAATTGTTGCGGAATTCTATCAGTCTTATTTTCCCCTATTAAAATCAGAGAATAGAATTGAAAATACCCGCTGATGTAAAAATATATGCACAATCGTCTTCCTGTTTTTGTTATGTTTTGCTATTTTACACAAAATGATTTAGGCACGTGTTGAAAGCTTCGAAAATCTGGATGAGCGGTTCCCAAACTGCGTTAATCGGTGTTTAAAACAACAATTAGTCGTATTTCACTCCCATTTCTCCTCGGAAGGTGCTGCTTACCCAAACATTTAATAACGAAAACAATCATCGAGGGGCGTCAAGTTGGAGCAAGTGAATGGCATAAGTTTTATGCTCCGTCAAGTACGGTCCATAGATGGACCGTTTTCTCTCAGAGTGTTTTTTCTACGAGAATTGCAATCACTGCTTGACAACCGATCTTTGATGTACCATCAAGCAGCTACACCAGCAATTGTTTTCTTAAGACGAGAACATGAGATTTTCTACTTAACCGCTTAGCTGCTACTGTGATATTTGGTCTCCTATCCAGGACGATTTTTTGTTTACGATCAATAGCGATGGAATGTGAATGCAATAGATCTGCTGAACACTTGAGCAATGAAAAACAACACAGATTTTGAGCAATTAACTAGGAATTTGGTAGACAAATTTTACACCGAAGCAGCTCGGAGCTCGTGACTTCTAGTTGGAGTAAACGTGTTAATACACAGTCGAATGCATTGAGTTTTTAACTAATTTTTAAATGCGAAAACCGGCTGAGTAAGTATCAAGTTCAGTTCCGGATAGCGATTAGAAAATGAGTTATCCCATTCGAATTTATTAAAAACAAGATAAAAACAACTGCTCAATATTCGTCGTTTGGAAATATGTCCAGTCACTTTAC